TCAGTTCATTGGCTTTTTCGGTTTTTTGGCAACGAGACAAAACACTCTAACGTATCCCCATCGTAAGTGGCAGTGGTGCAGCTCGCCGGATTTTACTCGTGGGGGGCACAAAGGGGGTACCAGCATCTTATGGGGGGCACCAGCTTTCAGTGATGGTTTTTTTTTTGGGGGGGGGCCAGTTTTTGTTAACCTTGTTCAATATCCAGTCATAATTCTTGTTAGTGGGGGGGGGCACCAGGAATTTGTTTGGAGGGGTTACGTTCCCCCTCCGCCCCGGTTACGCCACTTAAGTGGGCAGACAGTACTGCATGTGTGCAGTGAAGAGTTTCTTTCAATGGTGGAACTGGAAATGGGAATATTCAGGGCGCCTCATTATCATGACGGTGATCGACTTGTGTGTATAGGGAAGGGGCGTAGCCATACAAGTCGCTACTACCGTGCCGTCTAAGTTTAGTGGAGTGGAGTACGGCAGCCACCACTGAATTTTGTTTTCTCCGGACTGTTTCTCAAGGCTACGTGAAGCTTTTTTTTATGGCCAAGACGCTGAATAGAATCAAACAGTTAGAAAAAAAGTGTGCAGTGGCCCTGTTGATGCTGATAACCAATCTCATCCACTCCTTGTTTAAAGAAACTAATTCACGGCAGCAATCTGTTTGGAATAATCCTGGGGAACCAAACAACTCCCCCCCCCCATTAGTAAAGGGATAAAAATCAACCGATTATTCCTTAAACCTTTCTTGCACACACCGGTTTCCCTTATTTTCTTGGCCATAAAAGAACGCCTTCACGTAGCCCTGGCCAGTCCGGAGAAAACAAAATTGGTGGCGGTCGTACTCCACTCCACCAGACTTAGACGTTGTAGAAGCGACTTGTGAGCTGAGACTACGCCCCTTCCCTACTCACACTCACTCCAAATCACAAAAGTTAAAGATTCTTCGAAAAAAGAATTCTGACAAGAAAAATCAACAGTACTCTCAAAACTTAGCCAAAAAAACTGAGTCCTAACAGTGGCTATATTTCCTCTTAACTTTATTCCCTCTAAATTGGCTACTAAGTAGTCCTCAGAAAAATTGTTAAGTATAAAAAGTACACTGTTTGGGAAATGTGATACTCAGAAATTGTAAATATGTAAAAAAAAAA